TGACATAGCAACAGCACTGAGCAAAAAAGGTGAAGGAGAGCTCAAAGCCTTGAGTTCAAGCCCCAGTACTAGCTTTTTTTTTTTAAAAAAAAAAAAAAAAAGGAATTTTCCAGTCTGAGTAGGAGGGCTCTGGATGCTATTATTTCATGAAGAATCTACACAGTTGGATATGGTGGTCCACATCTGTAATCCTAGCACTGGGAGGGAGAATAAGGAAAAAAGCCTAGGCTACAGAGTGTGTTCCATACCAACCTGGTTTACAGAGCAAGATCCTGTCTCCAAACTAACAATAAGAAAAGGAAAACAAAGCAAATAGAATCTATTGCAAATGTTTTATTTACATGTTGTAGTAGAATTTACAAACTAGGGCTTTGCTCTCATTACCTGGATCTCAAATAAATAAGGTTCCTTTTTACATTACTGGTCAAACAGACCCTTGAGAACTCACCTAAACTGTTATCCCTTCCCTGTAAAAATGTTTTATCATCCATAAATTTACTCTTACCCTGTGAGGAAGAATAACCAGCCCGCCTTGACTTGCCCTTTGACTGTCTATAAGAACACCCTGTAGGTAATGTGAATGAACTGGGTGGAGTACACAAACAAACTTGGGATCTAAACGGATGACTTGAATTTAACAATCAAATCAATCCTCTATGTATGGTAAATGTCTCCATTTGTTATTTTAGAAAAGGACAGAATTTCCAAGCCCATAGAGAAAAAACACCCATCAGGCTCTTACGTTTTTAAGTAAAAGATTCTAGTATCTTTTTTCTCCTTCTTCTTCTCCTTTTCCTTCTCCTTCCCCTTCTTCTTCTTCCTCCTCCTTCTCTGTCTCCTCTTCCTCTTCCTCTACCTCCCTTGTCTTCTTTCTCCTTCTTCTTTCTTCTTCTTCTGTATGGGTCCTGGGCTTGCCCTTAGAGCCAGGGGGCTATCCCTGAGCTGCACTCTACCACTCTACCACTTAATTCACACCTCCATTTCTAGCTTTTTGCTGTTTAATTGGTGATAAGTCTCTCAGACTATCCTGCCCTAGCTGGCTTTGAACCAAGATCCTCAGATGTCAGCCTCCTGAGTAGCGAGGCTTAAAGGGGTCACTGATACCTGGCTAAAATTCTGGTATCTTAATGGAGCCAATATGTCCATTAAAGAGATTGTGAGCAAGGCTTAACTACATCATCTTCAAGGTCACAACTAGAAAGAACAAGGTAACTGTCCTCTCTTCTAGAGCTAATTGAGCACAGCTAGTATATTATGTCCAGGTTTTTTCCACATCCTGAGAGTGTCACAGAAAGACTGAAAAAGTATAGTAAAGAGGAGACTCTATTAAAGAAATATGAAAACATATCACATAAAGACCAGTTAAATGAGTTGAAGTCATTTAGCTCAGATTCCAAAGGAGCATAATCACTGTCTCTAAAACCCTTCAGAATTGCCATGGCTCAGATAATCAGACTTGTTCTACATGGCCTCCAGTGGGCCCAGCCAGACCATCATCATTAACTACAGCTATGCCTATCAGCTACCCCTATACATTCTTAAAATGTAGAGCCATGTCAGAATAGAAAAGCCTATTGTACCCTAGAAGTCAATAATTCAAAAACTCCAACATTTGTCATTACTTCAGAGTTTTATTACGATTTGCTAGTGACCCAGCATCCCTCTTTACCCTTCCCCAAATGTCCTGTCCGATCAGTTGAGTACTCTGCCAGGTTTGTGGGAGGAAAGTGCTTGCTTGCTGGGCAATTACTTTCAGTTTGCAGAAAGTGTTTGAGTGTAAACAACGGAGAGCCCTAACTTAGGGGTAGGCAAAAACACTCAGCTAAGTCTCCAAGAGAGAAATTCTTAATTCAGAAAGCATCTATAAGATGTATCAAATCAAACATTATACTTAGTTCTTATAGGAATATTGAAATGAGGAAGAACCTCTCTTCCTAATGCCAGGGAATCTAGCTTTACAAGCCAAATCAGCTCTTTCAAATTCAAATAGTTTTCTTCTGTCAAAGAGCTCTGTTTACTATTTAAACCCTTGGCTCTGGTTAAATAGTCTATACTTGCTATCATAAAAGCTAAAATTAAGCCAGGCACCAGTGGCTCACAATTGTAATCCTAGCTACTCAGGAGGCCGAGATCTGAGGATCACAGTTCAAAGCCAGCTGGGGCAGGAATATCTGTGAGACTCTTATCTCCAGTAAACTACTCAAAAAAGCCAGAAGTGGCACTGAGGCTCAAGTGGGAGAGTGCTAACCTTAAGCAAAAGAAGCTCAGGGACAGTGGCCAGGCCCAGAGTTCAAGTACCAGGACCGGCAAAAAAAAAAAAAAAATCCTAAAATTGTCTATCAGGTCACAAAGCTAATGAAGCTCCTGAGAACTAGATACTGGCAACCCAGAGTGATTTCACAGAGTAGTAAAAACTCCAGATTATTTAAAACAAAGGGAAGTGACCAGAGTTGGACATGCTAAAACTAAACTTAGGTTAGTCCATGGAAAATACTAATAACTTTGAACAATTCAAATGGCAAATACTAATTAGCCCAATGTTACTACACTTGAAATTTATTTGAATTCTGAGCATTGATTCAAATCAAAGTATTAGACAAATATAATAAAAATGGAGTGAACTTAAGAACAGTCTTCTCTTGACTCTTTAAAGCAATCTAAGTGTGTATAGAGATTGGTTGGATAAATTATGACACATTCTGACAATAGGAAGTACAACTATTAAAAATAATTAGATACAAGGTACTCACATAAATATATATGTATATATATATAATCAATGATACACAGTTAATACAGCAAGTTGTAAAACAGTATTATAGAATCATTCCATTTTTAAAAAACTATTTTATTCAATTAAATTTTCTTTGCAGTACAGGGATTGCACACTCTAGACCAAAATTGTACCACTGAGCTATACCTCCTGCCCACCTAAAAACTATTTTAAAATATTCTGTGTAATGATCATACATGCCCAGAAAAAAAAGTTTGAAGGGAAAAAAAAACAACCAGCTGCAAACACTACTAACATCTAGAGGTTTACTGAAACCAGAAAACAGTAACTTTCACTTTTCACTTGGTAGACTTTTGGTTTTTTGTTTTGCTTTGTTTTTGTCAGAAAGGGTTATCTTAGTGTCTTTTTAAAACAAGGAAAACTAATTATCCTGAGTTATTTATCGGATACTAACCATAGTAAGAAATTGCAAACAATGCTACTGTGTGCTTGAAATTTTAAAAAAAAATCTAATTCTTTTTTTATTATATTTTGCTAGATGGAAAAAAAATTTAATCACCGTAAGTCCCTACTTGGTTTCTCAAATGCTTTTCTCTATTTAAAAAAATGCTTGGTCAAAAGCATATTTAACATACACATGGTGCTTATACCAGGAATTGTGCTAAGCACTAAAGACAGTTTTGAGAGAGGATCTCTGTATGTAGCTCAGCTCAAACTTATGATCCTCGGTCTCAGCCTCCTGAATGCTGGGATTACAGGCATGCACCGCCAGATTCAGCTCAAGATGTTTAATTCTCACAGTAATCTTACAAGTACTATAATTATCTTCATTTCACAGTTGAAGAAACGGAGGCCAGAAAGGTTAAGTAACTTGCTCAAGCTTTCATAGGGACAGCCCACTGGAATTCTAACCTAAGAATGGACAACACAGCCCATAATTTCAACCACTATAATTCCTGTCTTTTAATCATATGTCAGTGTCTCATCTAAAGGCCCAAATCATCACAGGTTAAAAAAAAGGGGGGGGGGCTAGTTAATATACCCTTGAAGCTGGAATCAATCCAAATTTGGCTTTTTTTTTTTCAGAATGAATAATCAAACTCCAAACCAACACTGTATCAAAGCATATAACCATGTGGGAAATTTCTCTACAGACACAATTATAGTCCAAAGTCCATAACCTGACTCACAGTAAACCACTGCGCCTAAGAATTAGGTCAGCTGATCCAGCCAGACAAGGGCTTTGGACATACCTCCACCCCAACTCTAAGCAAAAGAACTCAGAAACTCTTGTCTAAAGTCTTGACAAGTTATATTTTCTTGGCTAAGGGCAACTTTAGATATAAAAGGAGAAAGAAAGGAGTCAGATCTAACGTTGCTTGAGACTTTAACCAGAAAGAAGAGGAGCTTTATTCTCTGTATGAACTCCAAATGAAATTGGCCTCTGTCAGCATCAGCAAAATCAGCCTAGTTTTTAAGGGGACAAAAATGGGCATCCCTGCTTAAATTGTCTTTAACCGAACACCTGACCTTGTAATTGAGAAAATACATAGTGCAAGGAAGGGTTTTAACCTAATTTATAAACGTGCTCAACCTAGATAACACACGTGCCCCAAATGACCTACTGAATCTACTTACTTGCAGAGAAAACATGGATGACAATACCTGTTTTATTTTGTGACCTCGGGTAGTGTACTGTTGTTTCTAAACAAAATCCTCTCCCTACCTCTTCCACCTGCCACAGGCACATCTGATATTAACAACAACAAGAAGAAAAATGAACAAGGAAACCGGGATCCCTTTCGCTTAGCCTTTGACCTGTGGGGTGGATGGAAGCAGGGATGTTTGCTGGTTTTCAAACTTCCCCCAGATAAACCAGGCGAGGTGGAGCCGAACCCAAAAGTTTGCGTCCCTGCAGGATCGCTTCTGACAAAGGCCAGAAAAACCTGGTTTGGAAAGAGATGCGATGCCTGGCCGAGAGCAGCTACCCCCGACCTGAAAGAGCACGGCCCCGGGGATGGGGGGGGTGGGGGGGAGTGGGGGAGGAAGAGGGAGGGGGAGAGGCTGGACAAAAAGACTTCCCAGACCTGGGGCGAGGTGGGTAGTGCAGAGGGTCAACCTAGGCGGCTGGAGCTTGGATCTCCCCTTGGGGAGTGGAGACCAGAGGAGCGAAACGAACCATTCCAGCCTCGCGCCCAACCCTAGATGCCCGAGGCTGGGGTCCGGGTGGGGAGGGTGCCGCCCGACAGCCAGCGCGGGGACTCACCTGGGGGAGGAGGGGAGGGGGGCTCGGTGGCAGGTGGGGTGGGCGGGACGCGGCGGCTGCTGCTGCTGCTGCTGCTGCTGCTGGGGAGGACGGCGATCGGGGTCCGGGGAGTGGTCGGCGCCAAAACGGTGGTCGCTACCGGGGTGGTCGGCGCCCGGTCGGTGGCCGTGGAGAGGGCGGTCGGCGCCACCGGGGTGGTGGCAGTGCGCTCCGCCTCGGGAGGAGCGGTCGGCGAGCGGCCGGGCGGCGCGCGGGAGGAGGTCGCCGCGGGTCCCGCGGTGGCCCGGGGAGGGGTGGGCTCCGGGGGCCGGGCTGGGGGCATCGAGGCCGGGGCTCGGCGGACCGTGGCGCGCGGGGGGCCGGTCGGCGGGGCCTGGGCCGTGGGAGCCGTCGCCTCAGAGAAGGGGTGGCTGGGCTCGCCGCGCAGCCCCGGGCCCGGCGACGCGTCCACCTGCCCCTCGGCCCCGCCGCCACCGGTGACATTCCCGGCCGAGGCGACCGAGGCGGCGGCGGCGGCGGCGCAGCACAACAGGGCGAGGCCGCCCAGGCTCGGCAGGCTCCTCATGGCGCGCTCGGCTCCGCCATTCATTCATTCAACCAGTCGGTTGGTCAGTCATCTTCTCTTCCTGGCAATCCGACCGAGGAAGCCGCCGCCGCCGCCGCCGCCGCCGTCGTCGTCGCGGCCACCGGGCGCACCATCGCCGCCTCCCTCTCTGACAGGCGGCCGGCCCCGCGGGCGGGCCTCAGCGCGGAGGGAACGACCCGGCCGAGCGCGGACAGCCCGCCCTCCTCGACTGGCAGCCGTACCTAGCCAATGAGAGGCCGCTCTCGCCCACGTGACCCACCCGCTTCCCGGCCTCTTTGTAGCCCAGCAGACCAATCAGAAGACATCGTGGGAAAAGGGGCGGGACGTAGGGCGGGAGGAGGGTGGTGCGAGCGCCGCTGGAGCCGGCCGGGCCAGCGGCGGCTCCCGCTTTGTCTGCCCGTAGAGCCGGGCGCGGGCCCTCCGGCACCCGGCGCAGAGGAGCAGACAAAGGACGCGCCCCGTGCGGCAGACGCCGGGCCAAGTCCTCTGCTTCACCGGGCTGCCAGCGCGACCCGGGGCGGGGATTCCTCTCTCCGAGTGACCCCGCCTTCCTGAACAATGGGGCGCCGGCGCCGCACCCCGGTTCGGGCAGGGACTGGCCTGCGGCCCCCCGCAAGGAACCAGGTCGACCCTGTGACAGCCTTGCCTCTATTGCCAGGAGAGCCTGGCCTCGGCCCTGCGAGGTCTGCGCTGCCATTTCCACTTCAGGGATGGGGAAACTGAGGCACGCCCCCACCAAGCACCTGCTTGTGAGCCTGGCTCATCATCAGTGGAGCCAGGCTGGACGGGGCCGGTCTGCAGACCCGTCCGGGGCACAAGGTGCTGGACTCTTGCCTGGGGAAACAGACTCACTTACCTCGCACACTTCACCCCAGGAAGACCAGAATCTGACTGGAGTTGCATCTCCGCTTCTAGCGAACTGGTTCAGGGGTCTGACTCGGTTTTCTCACCACTAAATGGAGGTGATGGGAGGCACCCCATCCCCCTCACAGAGCTGATGGTAGAATTAAATGATGTACATAATGGGCTGCCCACTATGGTAAACCCTCATTAATGCTAACTACTCTCAGCGAAGTGTGTCCAGACAAGCCTTGGGTTGGAAAGCAGCCTGAGGGCCTCAGCCCTGCCGGGCTCCCCTAGAGACTCTGGCCTGTTGTCACAGAGATGGGGGGTGGGGCTGACAGCAGTGCTTCACCCTGGATGACTTTAAACCCTGGGTGAAACTGCAAATCAGGCATGCGCAACCTCATACCAGCAACCAGGACCATGGCAGCGCAGCTTGTAGGGGCAGCCGGGCAGGGCAAGTTTGTCATCTGATTGGGCTTAATCCCAGCTATGCAGCTAACCCAGTCCTGGCCTTCTTGACGCCTCCCCTACACGGGCGGTACTTGTGTTTGGTTTCCCATTAGTCACTGGACTCCAACCAGACCAGCAGGATGAGATTTGTGTGCAAACGTGTGTATGTTAAAGAAAGCATGCCTTTATTTTCCTGCCTGAGTAGTGGGTGTGGAAAGGATATGTATGTGCTTGGGTGGAAAAGCATATGTATAAGTTCATCTATGTGAGTTTTATACCTGTGTGAATCTGAATATGGGAACTAGATGTTATTTGCATGTTTTTTTTTTTAATAATCTGTGCCTACCTAGTGGTTGGGATTGTTCGGTTGGTTGGTTGGTTGGTTGGTTGGTGGTGGACACTTACTTATTGGCTTTTTCACTTAAGGTTGACACCCTATCCCTGAGCCAATCCACTGCTGGCATTTTGCTAGTTAATTGGAGGCAAGTGTCCCTCATACTTGTGTGCCCAGGCTGGATTTGAACAGTGATCCTCAGACCTCTGCCTCCTGAGTAGCTAGGGTTACAGGCATGTGCCACCAGCATCTGGCTGATGTGTGTGTTGTATTTTTGAATTTGTGGTTTTCTCTAGGTGTGTCCTGACAAAGCTGTCTGTGTAAGGAAGTGGGGACAAAATGAGAGGGGTGTGTGAATGATCTGGTTTCAAGACCAATATTTAGCAAGCACTAAGGAGCTTCTATTTTTACTTCTGTTTAGGAAAGGAGTGAACAAAACATGCACCTTCTCTCTCTCCTCCTCAGCCCAGCTGAAATGCCACATCCTCCAGGAGGCTCTTTTGGATTTCTAAATGGAAATTAATCTGCCCTTATTTCCCCACCTGCTTTATTTTATTCGTTGATTACCAACTTGATCTATCCATCTATCTCTCCCTGCCTCTTCCTAAAAGGATTAAGAATGGCTTTCAGAAATACATACAACAGGATAAATTGAGCTGCCCACACAGCTTTCTTACTTCTCCCGGACAAGCATCAGCCTTAATACTAGAACTAGTGATTGATGGCATCTTTCTGTTCTCAGTGCCTAGCAGGGGCAATACAATGTGAGCTCTAATCCATGTTGATTAAATGGAAAAGAGATCCTGTGGTGCCCCTGGGAAAAGCTTGTATCTTTAGCATCACAGACTTGGATCAGGGCTCTGCCAACTGTGTGACCTTGGAGGAAACCTTTGCCCTTACTGAGCCTCTGATTCCTCCTCTATACCATGGTATTAAATCCTCTCTCACGTGGTTTTACATTTGAGGATGGAAGATATTTTTACAAAGCCTAACACACAGATGATGCTCAGTCTGGGTAACTGTGAATTTCAGTCACATCACTGCTATCATTAAACTTCATTGGTAAAAAGACCAGAACAGAAATCTCTGGCCTATAACCTCCCCATAAGGTGATATGGCTTGACAGTTACCCTCCTAGATATTTAATGTGTGTGTGTGTGTGTGTGTGTGTGTGTGTGTATACACTGCAGTCCTGAGTCGTGCTATATCAGAGGTTCTCTGGTAGCAGAGGAGAAAGGCTGATGTGGCTTCTCTGCTAGGAGCATCTTGGAACGAAGGACTGGAAGACCTTGTAGAGTAACTCAGCTCTGCCTCAGGCAAGAATCACATTCAAGCCGGAGTTTTGATGTGGGACAGTTAGTCCACAATATGTTTAGAAAGTGTTGAAGTGGTTTTTCTTTTTTAAAGATAACTTTTCTGAGACAAAGTCTTACTATTTAGGCCAGGTTGGCCTCAAATATATCAGCTTCCTAAGTACTGAGATTACAGGTATGCACCATCACATCCAAATCTGAAAGATAATTTGTGTACTAATATTGCTTCATTCAACATTTAATTCTTCAGTTCATTTCCTTCCCTTAAAAAAAAGATGTACAAGATGACTTCACTATTTGTTAAGAATATTTAATTTACATTTTAAAACTGGAAACATCTTAAATATACAACATCAGAGAAAAGTTGTACCATGTCTATTCCATTTAATTCTATAATGTCATTGCAATGTTAATGATAACTGACATCTTACAGTGTGCTAACCATGGTACCAAGAGTTATTTCATTTAATCCTTAGAACTCTATGAAGTAGGTACTATTATGTGCTAATCTATTTATACTTCTATAACAAAGAAACATAGATCGTGTGGCTTATAAACAACAAAAATTTTATTTTTTACAATTTTGGTGGTTTGGCTCATGCCTGTAATCCTAGCTACTCAGAATGCTGCGATCTGAGAATCCTGGTGCAAAGCCAACCTGGGCAGACAAATTACAGAGACTCATCTCCAGTTAACCTGCAAAGGGCCAGAACTGGAAGCATGATTCAAGTATTAGAATAACAACAGCTCTGAGAGGGGGTAGGTGGGGAGTTGAGCAAGAGTTCAAGGTCTTGAGGTTCAGCATCAGTACTGGCAAAGGAAGGAATTAATGGAGGGAGGGAGGGAGCGGAGGGAAGGGAAGGGAAGGAAGAATCCCAAGATCAAGATACCAGCAGATTCAATGTCTGGTGAAGAGCCTATCCGGTTCATTGATGGCCATCTTTTCACTATAGTCACACAGTAGAGGAGGCATGGGAACTTCCTGGGATCTCCTTTATAAAACCACTAATTCCATCCGTAGGGGTCATACCTTCATGAACTAACACCTCCCAAATGTCTCAAAATACCATTATCTGGGGTCAGGAGTTAGGATTTCAACATATGAATTTTAGGGGGACACATTCATCCTATAACATATTATTACCTGCATCTTACAGATAAGAAAACTGTGGCACAGTTTTGCCTAAGGTCACTTAGTAAGTAGTAGAGCCAGAAATCAAACTGACCTAGCTGGTTTGGGCCAGTACCCTTAACAATAAAGGAAAAAATGGTTATGAAATAATGTTAGGAAGAAGAGAAGATTGTCCTTACAGCTGTGATAATATGTATCAGAATGTTGGCTGGCTCTCTTCCTTTAGCCCCAGAAGTACATTTAAGGTCCAGGGTTCATTCATAGCAGCTGGAGCCACAGAATAGCAGGTGTCAGAGAGACCTTGTTGGAAACTCTCAGCAGCATGACCATTCTCCTGTAGGAGACACAGGTGCTATAAAGGACATACTTCCATTCTTCTTTGAACGGGGCACTAGCTCAGAATCAATACAAGTGGTTCCAGACTTGTTGAGTTACAAGGAGTCTTGTGATGTGTCAGGCACTGCTCAAGTGTTTCGCATTCTTAACAAACTCATTCCTCAAAGGTTAAGACTCTGTCTGCGCTTGAAAGAAGAGGAAATTGAGTCTCTGAAAGAGGCAAAGGGACTTGCCCAAGATCTGCCTGACTCCAAAAGCCAGGTTCTTCTCTTTACTCCACAGTCCGTTAATGTGTGCATTGTGCATTGCACATAGTAAGAGCTTGATGAGCACATTGGAAGAAAGGACAGACACAAGCTAAATTTAACCCACTCAGTAAGTCAGCATTTAAGAAAAGAGAAGCACTGGAAGAAAGAAAGCATTATAGATGTAGCTCATCCTGCTTCTCCCAGGCTGTAAAACACATACGTGCTATATAAAACACACATACGCTTGCGTGCGTGCGCGCGCGCGCGCGCGCGCGCACACACACACACACACACACACACACACACACACACACACACAGAGGAACTTTCCTCTTTTTGGCTCCATTGAAGAGTGCATGAATTCTTTCCTGCCAGAGCCTTGGCCTCCTATCAGATGTGGCTGAATACAAAGTTTGCCATCTTCTGCTAGCTACTCTAGAGTTGTTAGCCATGATTACCCAAGACTGCTGGTCGA